AGTGAATTATCTTCAGTAGTTACTAAAATATCGCAGTTTTCGTATTTCTGAAAATTACCGTTATATGGGAAGTGGGCGTGGTTAAAGTCCGATTTCGCCCATTTTCAATACCAACCTACCTTGGATTAAGGGAAACCTACATACCAAATTTCGTTGAGATATCTCAATTTTTGCTCGACAGACGGACAGACGGACGGACAGACAGACATGGCTTAATCGATTTCTTTTTTCATCCTGATCATTTATGTATACATTTGTCTATATCTATCTCGATTCGTTTTGGCTGTTACAAACAACCGTTATGTGAACAAAATTAATATACCCTTGCGCACAAGTGCGCTCGGGTATAAAAATATAATAGAAAGAGGCTTGTAGTAATTTGTCAGCACAAGAAAAAATTTTAGTTTTGTTGACAATTTTTCTTCAATCACAATATTTTATAAGTAGTTTGTTAAATATTCAATTTAAGAAAATTATTAAGTATGTGATTTATTGGCAGACTGGTGCAAACGCCAAGGACGATCTACCACTTTCTTTTATAATTAAACTTCTTGTAAGTAGCTACTACATATGTAATTCAAAAATACAAATTAATTTAACGAGTTTTGCAATTCTTTCACAGGCTGCGCGGAGTAACACTAAAGGATTTAAACGTTTAATTCCCCTATCTCGTAAGTTTATAGTTATTTATTTTTTTAATTTGCTAGTTTATTAGGTCTTTGCAGTTATTGAACTTAATGTTTTATTGATAATATGGCTTCTCAATTAAAAAGGCGTGCGAAATCCGAAGCCTTATCCGTACTAGCGTCAATAAATGATTCATTAAAAAAAAATTATTACAGATGAGGTAGCAAAACTTTTCTCGTGGAAGGGAACTGGTACCAAAAGCAGCGCTATTGGTTTGGCAACGACTGCGGCAATAAGAAGTACGGATCATAATATTATTTATTACCACTTTTTACTTAATTAAATTTTCCGGTTTCCAATGGAGTTTAATCTTTCACTTTATTTTCTTAGGTGCTTTTCGTCAAAAATTTAACTCCCACGAAGAAGTTTTTATTTCCGTTTCAAAGAAGCACTTCCAATATGCACACGACCGGCAAAAAAAATTGGCAGCCTATCGGCAAAAAAGATAAAAAATAAATTCAGCAACTTTATAATATATATTAAACCCCTCTTATTTAATTGTTAATTTGTTAATAGATAGTTTGTTAATATTTATTTATCTGAAAATATCTTCACATATACAGTGCCGGGAAAAAATATTGGCACAGAGAATTTTTCGCCATGAATGCAAAGTTTTTTATTCTGATTTCTTCTCTAATTGTTTTTTATAAAAATATAGTTAGTATGAAGTTCTACTTTCAAATCAGATTTTTTAGAAAAATTTTAAGTATGCAGTTTTATAGCTCATTTAATTTTAGTATAATAAAGTGCACGCTTGAATAGCTAGAGAACCTCTTTGTTTTTTGACAATTTCTTATTCGCAGTTTCTTCCATACAAAAAAAAAATGTCGCACATAATTTGCATGGAAGAAACTGCGTGAAAAAATTGCCAAAAATCAACGCAGTTTTCTGGCAACTTCAAGCTTGCACTATGTTATACTAAAATATAATGGGATTTAAAACTGCATACTTAGAATTTTTCTCAAAAATCTGATTTGAAAGTAGATCTTCAAACTAACTGTATTTAAAAAAAATAATGTGCGAAAAGAAATTCAAGTAAAAAACTTTGCATACATTGCGAAAAATTCTCTGTGCCAATACTTTGATCCGGCACTATAAATATTTATTAATTATAATTCCATTCAATAAAAGAACTACAATAATTTGAATTAATTGCACAATTTAAAGCGAAAAAGTGCTCGAAAAAGAGTCGTAAACGGCTATCATAAACGATTTTTAATCCGATTTTTCTTCGAGAAAATATCCAATTACGAGCTTGTTTACGATGATTTTGCTGGCTGGGATAGCTCAAATAATAACACAACAGTTTCATTATATTTTGATCAATAAATGTTAAGCGTTTTTTTCCAAACATTTTGTTAAACAGAAACGCTTAATATTTAACATAAAAATAAAAGTGTTGTGTATAACTCGTACTATGTTTTTTACAGTGTAGCAAATGAAAGCAACAACCGCAGGTTTTACGAAAATAATTTCGTTAAATATACGAATTATTTTTATGCATTTTGAAAAATTTCGTAAAAAAACAAAGAAATAATACGAAATTCTTTAGTAAATAGTACGAACGCATTCGTAAAATATACTAAAGATGTGATGTCTCATATTTTCGCAGAATGTACGGAAACGGTTTTGTACAATTAACGATAACTTTCGTTGCTCAAAATGACGAAAAATTTTGTACGATGTACGCAAGTTTTCGTTATTCATACGCACATTTTATTTTCAGGGCGCCAACGCACAAGGGTGCTGTGCATTTTTCTTAACATAAGGAGTATGTTTTGGTGCTTTTAAAGCTTTTTTAACACCTCTTATAATTGCTGCTGAATAAAGAATAGTATTCCCATTTCTGTCCCGTGTTAAGACTAATTAAATTATTTAACGGGATGTATTTATATTACTCCTTCCAAAAACATGTGTACATCTGTATATCTTCTCGGATGCTTCAAAATCGTCTTCAGCATTAAGGAGTCAATATTGATGATAAGCGAAATGAAAAAGTGTGAAAGAGTTAAGTGGTCGGTTTAAACCCCCCTGTGGGAGGAAGGGAATATGCATACAAATTTGCTATTATTTAGTTTACGATAATAATGGCAAAAAATATTTTAATATCTCTGTAGAACTTGTTTATTGAGGTAGACTAATGGTGACAACATTGTTTTCCCTTGCAATTAGGAGTAATGTGGATTCAGCGGATACTGGGGAGGTCCTATTAAAACAAAAAACGGGAGTCATTTAAAATATCAGTTCAAGCAAAAATGAACAAAAATTAACATTCCAGTCAAATACTCTATTTGAAAATATATTATATGTAGTATGCATTGGATTTTGACCCCTAACGATGAAAGGATTGCGTACACTTTAGGATTTAAGTTTTCAACTTATATGAAACGTACGTTTTATGTCAAGTTCTATATTTGCACATTTTAACGATGTTGTGCCAAAAATGTATTTTTTGAGACTTTGAATGCTTATTACTTATTTTTTGAAACGTACCAAATTAAAAAATTACACTCAAGTATTGTGAATTGTTTGTATTTTTGAGGTGTGAGCTATTATAAATGAAATGCAAAAAGACGTAACAAACATCATCGCTGAAATGCAAAAAGTCATAACTAATAATAAAAAATTCAAAATTCGCTTTTTGATTTAAATGATGGATTTCATCGAATTACAACTACCCGCATCATTTTATGAAAAATTAAATAAAAATACCAGTCATTTCTTTCCATTTCAGTTGCGATGTTGTTACGTCTTTTTGCATTTCAGGTGACGATAGGAATTTGTGTGAAAATTATTCCGCATTTTCATTTGACCATTTACAACTTTATTAATCAATAGGCTTTAGTACCAAGCTGTGTGTGCCTGACGTGCATCAAACACTTGTGGCTCATATTGCTGAGTCGCCGTATTTGTTGTGACGATCGAGGGTGGATTGATGACACATGCAGAAGCCAAATCATTTACAAAAAATCGTTTACTTTTAAATTTTTCGCCTGTTAAAGTTTGCATTTTTTTATTCATAACTCAAATTTAAAATGCAAATATCTTACGAAAGTGACCTGTTCTATAAAAACGGTATACAGGGCCGTAATCTACGACCCAAAATTATGTTTACGTGTTTCGGCGTTCTTTTGTGTCATTTTAGCTAACTTACAGTGAACAGTTCTTTTTATATGTATGCACTCTTTTACTTTGTTAGTTTCACATTCGAGATTATACATGAATTTTAGTTTAAGCTTTAACTCCCTCAACGAGTTTACTCATATAAATAACGTATTTTTCACACTTTTCCTTTCAGCGCCGGATCCACCCTCAAATCTCTCCGTGCAAGTGCGCAGTGGCAAAAATGCAATAATATCTTGGTCCCCACCTACACAAGGCAACTACACGTCCTTTCGCATCAAAGTGTTGGGACTTTCAGGTGCTTCCAGTTCATATAATCGCACATTCGTAGTGAATAACACATTCCAACATAGCGTCAAAGAGTTGACGCCTGGTGCCACATATCAGGTGCAAGCCTACACAGTTTACGATGGCAAGGAGTCGGTGGCGTATACCAGCCGAAATTTCACAACAAGTAAGTCTCGAAGCAAAGGCGAATTAAGGCCTAGCAAATGTTACTACTAAGCGGATTTAGGGAGTGAAGGATGATTAACTAATTAAGTAATTAATAAAACCAATGCATTGCCCTTTTGCAAGCAGCTTTAACAAGAACCAAAAAAACATGCTTTGGTGTTGGTTTCACATTGTTGTTATTAATTCTTGACTAAAAGTGTTATTTCTTTATACCTACATACTTATATTATATGTTCATGAAGCTTAAACTAAACACAGTTGTAATTGAAATACGAACAAAACATTACATAATGATTAATAATGTGTTAAACTTTATAAAAATCTTTGCTAATACTTACTCGTTACACCACTAAAAGGTAGAAGGACGCGGCATAAAGAATTGTTGGATATAAAAATACTGCGAGGTAACAAAACTTACAAAATACATACATGTGCACTAATCTATAGTTAATAAAATTGGATCGAATGGCTGTATGTTTTATGTAGTACGTAAACTTATACATACTAAACAATACTAAAAATATTTGTGGTTTGCTATTTAATATATTCATCTATTTAATATATTCTTCTATTGATTATTTATTACATTACATATACATGTGTATGTCCATAATATGTATGACACTAACATATTTAAGTGTGAAAGCTATTGTAGTATTAATAAAATTTGCCAATAAACATATTTCACAGTTAACGTAAAATGGTATTTTAATGATAAAAAGAACGTCTGCAAATACACCTTCCTAATATTTCGCACTCAATGTTTGTATGCAGCTCGCACGTTTGACATAAATTCCATTAAAGAATGAATGAATTTCATAATTATTATTTGTTTAAGAGGCATGCCTATAAGACAACTTCTATTATTTTTGCTCAGTATGTTAATCTATTTATTAACTGTGTATAATAAAATTTATACATAAATGACATAATTAGTCTTAATTTCAAAAAACATACATATCGGTGTTCAAAAGTAAAACTACACATATTATTATAATAATGAGCCTTAACCGCTAAAAAGAGGTAAGCGACATTTTTTTCAAAATTTCATTTTCAGCTTCTAAAAGCAAACAAAAAATAATGATTTAAAAAAAAAAACGCTTACATCTTTTTGACAGTTAGGGCTCCATAATATTACCATATATTCTCGCTTTGAAGCTGAGTAAAGCAATAGACGCCTGATATACCATATTCCTCGACCAAAAATAAAAGCTAACTTTAGATATTTATTTTTCCAACTCCAAATAACAGTAAAAATACCACTTTAATATTTTCTAGCAATTCGTATTGTTGCACTGCATTGCGAACGTCAAATACATATCTTGTTTATACGTAGCAACAAAAGGTTTCTAACTTAAATGTTAACAAGCAAATGAAATAGCGATTAAATTTCGACTTTTATTTTGGATCAAAAAATATAAGAAAAATGTTTACTGTTATTTTAGGCTGAAAAAATATCATAAAATTTAAATGTTGTTTTTGTCTCATAAAATACCTGACAAAAACTAACGATTTGATTTTTTGTTTTGGATGAAAAAAAATTTAAGCGATTAAGATTAATATTCCTTAGCCAACAAGCATCATTATATGCCATATTCAAATGTCACACAGACGAATTCTTTCCGTCGGACTTCTTGAATTGAAATTTCAAAGATAGAAGACAACTGTTATTTGCTTTGCCAACGAATATTTAGTATGAAGAATTTTTGGTTTTACTGCTAATATAAGTAAAAACCGTATAGTGAGCAACATTCTGCACAAAAAAAGAAGCCGATTTTATGTGTGGGAGCGGGAAGACTGTTTTATTACAAAACCTTTCTAATATTGAATCATGATTCTTCATAATTTTTCATCGAAACTAACTAAGATAGTGTGGTTACTCTCCGACGTAAAAACGTACGCAATTTCAGTTCATACGAACCATCTTATGAGAGCGCCTTGTACTAGAGCTGTGAAACTATCGATGGTTCTATCGATAGTATCGAATGGTTCTAATTTTTTGCACTATCGAATGGTCGTGGGCCACTATCGATAGACTTTGTATAACTTTCAAAGTTGCGAACGTTGCACTGACTGCTTATGGTAGCTTAGAATACAAACAAGCGTAGTAAATATTAATGTATATTGTTAAAATTTTTTCATGTTACTAAATATATTTTATTTTTTAAATACAAACTGAAGAAATATGCATATTGCTTATATTATATGTTACCTATTGGAGCATTGTGATTTGGCACATTTTTGAAGTTGTGTGATTAGTAATTAAATTTGCAAAAACTAGTTTGAATAGCTTATTGGATTTGTTAGTGATATTTTTGAAGCGAGACCGAAGACCGCCAACGCGGAAAATACTGTGATTATCTTAGCCGGAGTTGGACTGGTAAGAGTAATTTTTTTTAAGCTCAGCAAAGTCAGCCTATACAGAAAGAAATTCTGCACAAAAATGCCGTGGATGGCGTAAACGGAATTTACATTTTAGTCTACAGGGGTCTGTAGAGGGTCAGATAAAGGAGGGGTGACTTTTATTAAAGCTTAGGTTAGGATAGGTTAGGTTTAAATGGCTGCTAATTACCCCACTAGCACACATAGGCCCTTGGTTGTGGGCCCGTTGTGATACCACGCGGATTATTAGAACCCTCCTACTCAGACCATCGTGTGAATTTCGCTAAACCCAGAAGTTGCCGTATGCCTACTTCGGCTATGTCGGATAGGTCTTCAAAGAATCCTGAACCCATAAACTTTGGTCTTCTTCTACAAATTGCGGCGCATTCGCGTAATAGGTGCCGCAAGTTTTCGTTATAGACCCACAGCTTAAAGCTTAGAGTGTGCTCTTTCTATTGGGTGGGGTTTTAGGAACTAAACAAGACTAAAAAGTTTATATAAATAGCTTCGTAAATACATTTTAAAATTATCCGATACTAACGATAGTATTGATAGCTTGAATGCAAACTATCAAAAGCATCGAACTTAAATGAAAGCTCACCAACGTATGTATGTAGTATTTTCCTCTACACAGAGACGCAGACGTAGAAATCTGCGTGATTTTTTCTTGCAGAGCTTCAATCTTACATTTTTTGATATTATTGAAAAATAAATTACTAAATTCTTTGAATATTCTTAAAAAATTTTAACTCACTATCAAAAACAAATAATTAAATGGAAGCATGAGTTATTATTAGGGAACGGGTTTTATGGAAGTTTCCTTTTTTATTTATTTATTTATTTATTTATTTATTCAATAGTAATCTAGCTCAATAAAGTTGCTTACAGACTACATGGAGATAAAATATATCATACAATAAATCTAGCTTCATTTAACAATAGTTTGAAAGCGGGCTTAGACATAGAAAAATCTATGGCTAAAGAATTTGAGAGAACATTGAATTCTTTCAAAGCTCTAAAGATTGGAGCATTAGAAGCATAGAGAGTACGGACACGTTCAGTATAAAAAATATCTGAATTACGAAGGGTTCTGTTAGGAATATGGAAGCAAATGCATTCGAGTAAATACGGTGAATCAATCACGCCATTAATTATGTCAAAGACAAAGGTGAGCGAGAGAATTGTTCTCCTGCATTGAAGAGATTTCAAATTTATTAGCGCACATCTAGCTCTATATGGCGGAATTGGCTCGTCGAAATTCAATGATCGGAGCGCAAAGCGTAAAAACGTTTTTTGAACCCGCTCGAGCCTATTAATGTGGCACTCATAATAAGGTCTCCAAATAAAGCAAGCATATTCCAGCTTGGAACGTACAAGCGACGTGAACAACAGCTTTAACGTGTAGGGATCCGTGAATCCAGAGCTAAAACGGCGAATAAAAGCAAGCACTGAGTACGATTTGGCAATGGTGTAATTTAAGTGACTATGAAATAAAAATTTCGAGTCAAAGACTACACCTAAGTCAGTTAACTCATTACGAGTGGATAGTCGAGTACCATCAATATAGTATGAAGTAGGGGTTATACAATGAAGTTTGGAGAATGATAGGTGGAAACATTTGCTTATATTAAGCTGTAAGCCGTTGGTACGACACCAAGCTGAGACATTATCCAAGTCAAACTGAATCTTGACTTAATCAGAGGAGTTTGCAATGGTGGAGAAGATCTTCAAATCATCAGCATATAAAAGAAATTTGGAGTGCATAAAACACGACGAAATGTCATTGATAAAAATGACAAAAAGCAAAGGACCTAAAATGCTACCTTGTGGAACTCCAGAAGAAGCAATAAATGAGTTGGATAGCGCGTTGTCAACAACGACTACACATTTGCGATGATGCAGGTAGGATTTTAACCAACATAAAAATGTTGAGTGAAAACCTAAACTTGCTAATTTGGAAATCAAAAGTGAATGATCTACTCTATCGAAAGCTTTTGTGAAGTCGGCATATATAGTATCGACTTGAAGACGGTTGCTAAAAGTCGACATGCAATACTCAGAAAAAGTTGCTAAGTTAGTTACAGTGGATCTGCCGGGCATAAAACCGTGCTGGTTATTGGAGATGAAATGCTTAACTGTAAAATATAACTTCTGCTTTACTATATATTCAAATAGCTTTGATACAGTTGATAACTTGGCAATGGGCCTGTAGTTGGCAACATCGTTTTTGTTACCACTTTTAAAAAGAGGGCTGATGAAGGTTTCCTTCCAGGCATCGATAAACTCGCCACACTCAAGTGATTTATTGAAAATTATTAAAAGTGGAACCGCAAAAGCCAAACAGTTTTTAAGAAGTAAAGACGACCGGCCGTCAACATCAGTCTGCGAAGATGTTTTGATGTTCGAAATACCTTCAACTACATCATCAAGAGATAAAGAGAGCTCTCCAAAATTAATAGGAGAATCTACAGTTGAAAAGCAACTCCTACAAGTTTCTGACTGTGTTACAAAATTTGCGCGGAAAAAATTAGCAAAAAGGTTGGCTGCCTCAGGTGGTGATGAAGCATGTGCCCCATTAAAAAAAACTTCTGACGCAATACTAGAGCAGGTTTTTTTCGAATTGACATAGTTCCAAAAAGAATTTGGATTTACTTTAATATCTGATTCGAACTTATGAACGTATCTCCTCTGAAGATTTTTACCAAGCTGTTTGAACTCTCTAGAATAGTGAAGGTATTTGTCTCTATAAGCAGATGCTTTAGTGGATTTAAATTTTTTGTAGTACTTATTCCTCAAATTCTTTAGCTTCTTAAGTTCCTCTGTATACCAAGGAATCCTATAACATTTCTTTTTTCTTAGCGGTATATTATTCAAACAAATTTCATTAACTTTATTTTTAAAAACAGAATAAGAGTCTGCAACGTGAACTCTAGAAAGTAATGCATCCCAGTCTACATAAGAAATTTCTTGATTGACAACATCAAAATTGCAACGATTAAAACTGAAACTAGGAGCTTGATTATCCGTACAAATACTCTCATAGTTATAGAATTAAAGATCAAGAATAAGTGGAACGTGATGTAAACCGGGACACGAAACCGGATCAAGACACTCATTTAAAGCAAAATTCATATTGTCGTTAATAAAAATTAGATCTAAAGTTCTAGCTAACTTATTAGAGAAGCTATTTATCTGAGCAAAATTAACGCTTAATAAATTATCAATAACATATGATTCCGTGAAACTGTTCACATTTTTTGGAAGTAAAGTGTCACCTATAAATGACCATTCCACATTCCGTAAATTAAAATATCCGAGAATACAGAAATTAACACCATCGTGACTGCGAGCTATATCGACTATGTTGTCCACATGCGCTTTATAAAGTGAGTCCGCGCTAGACGGAGGAATGTATGAAGCGCCGATAAGTAATTTGGAGATGCCTTGTATCGAGACACAGAGTTGGTCTAAAAGGGAATCCGTATTGCTCAGACTCACAAACGATGAGCGATAAGGACCGGTTGTTCAATGTCTGGGTATTACTACTTCCCAGTTAAGGTTGCCAGATTTTTCTCAAAATTCAGTACATTTGGCTTTTGCAGCGCTTAAAAATCAGTACACTTCCGTACATTTTTGTTAGACGCAAAAATAGTTTTATTAAACAACATTAAGGGCCAAATTCACAGTGGCCCTAAAACAAAAATAAAAATCACATTTATTGTTACATATTTATGTTCATATGTATGTGTACATTAGACCAAAAAACCCTGAAATGCGACCTTAATCCGGCTCAAATTTTAGTATTTGGTATAGTTAAAATCCTCCATGAATTTCCCTTCTACGATAATCCTAAGAGGTCACGCGTCAAGCGTTTCTTTTTCTTATAGGAATAAAACGTAAAAAAATTAGTTCTAAGTATTTTGAGATCAACATAATTTTCTCGCATCATTCAAAATCCTCGAAGCTATAAGAATATATTGATTACATGCCATTTAAGTACTACGCAGGCTCAGATACTTTAAATTCCTAAATTATAGTTTTTGAATCGTTTGCCTTGTTTGGGTCTAGTAATTGCAAAGAAATTTTGGAATTTGAATAATCTGAGCCTGCGTAACACCTAAATAGCGTATAATCAATGTATTCTTACAGTTCCGGACGTTTTGATTGATCCTAGAACATTATATTGACTTAAAAAGAGAAGAACTCTCTTTCTTACGTGTTATGGGAAAAATTAATGCTCGATGAGCGACCTCTTAGAATTATAGTGGAGAAGGGAGGATCATTACTATAGCAAATACTATAATTGAGCTGGGTTCCGGTCGCATTGCGGATTTTTTTTTTTACGTGGTCTAGTGTACATACAAACAGTTGCAAAAATATTAATAGTGGAGAGACACTTATCATTCTTTGGCTATTTACCTTCCGTTTATTTAATGTTTATTATTCTTTTTATGAAAGTTGAACTTCTTCTTTATTGGCGGTGCAACCGCCTAAGCAATTTCGGCCGAGTCCAAACCAGCACGCCAGTCATTTCTCTTCTATGCTAACTGACGACAATTGGAAATGCCAAGTGAAGCCAAGTCCTTCTCCACCTGGTCTTTCCACCGCAGAGGAGACCTTCCTCTTCCTCTGTTTCCAGCATCGCGGCCCGCGACGAATATTTTTATAGCAGGAGCATTTCTGTCCATTCGAACGACATGGCCAAGCCAGCGGAGCCGATGAATTTTAATTCGCTGCTCTATGTCTATATCGTTGTAAAGCTCATACAGCTCATCGTTAAATCGTCTGAGATATTCGCCATCACCAACGCGTAAAGGTCCGCAAATCTCTCGCAGAATCTTTCTCTCGAAAACTCCAAGAGCCGCCTCATCAGATGCTTTCATCGTCCATGCCTCCGCTCCATACACCAGCAAAGGCATGATGAGTGACTTATAGAGTGTGATCTTTGTACGACGAGAGAGGACTTTACTTCTCTATTGCCTACTCAGCCCAAAGTAGCACTTGTTGGCAAGAGTGATTTCGTAGGGATACCAAATTCAGACATTGTGGCATAAAGGCAACTTCTCTTCGTGCTCGTTCGTCTTCGAAAGCGGCTTTGAAATCGACAAATGGATGGTGTGTGTCGATCCTATTCTCGCGGGTCTTTTCCAAGATTTGGCGTATTGTGAATACTTGATCTATGGTGGATTTGCCAGGCCTAATGCTACACTGATAAGGTCCAAGCAGTTTGTTGTTATAACCTATGCTTAGAAGGCTAATTCCGCGGTAGTTGGTGCGTATGGCGGGATCGCCTTTCTTCTGGATTGGGCAGAGCACACTCAAATTCCAGTCATCGGGCATGTGTTCATCTCACCATATTCTGCATACGAGCTGATGCATGCACCTCATCAGCTCCTCGCCGCCGTACTTGGATAGCTTGGCTGGCAGGCCGTCAGCTCCAGCAGCTTTGTTGTTTTTCAGCCGCGTAATGGCTATTCATACCTCGTCATAGTCAGGCGGTGGGACAGCTACTCCATTATCATCGACTGGGAACTCGGGTTCGTCTTCTTCACAACTTTCAGCACTGCTACCATTCAGTAGGTTGTAAGTGTTCCCTCCACAATTTAAGTACATTCTGGACATCTGTCACTAGGTCGCCATTGTTGTTCTTACAGGAGTTCGCCGTGGTCTTGAAACCTTCCGTAAGTCGCCTAACCCTCTGGTAGAATTTTCGGGCGTTCTTCCTGTCGGCCAAGAGCTTTCATTTGACACCTCATTTTTGAAAATCGGAAGAACGGTGTAAATATCTTAATTTTAAACGCAGATGGCAACCCTATTCACAAAAACATATCCTTTCTGCATAGCTAGAGGCCAAGCCCTCTATTTGACACCTCATTTTTGAAAATCGAATGAACGGTGCAAATCTTATGCAATTAACAAAATTGCCTTCGCACAGAATAGTATCTCCAGCCACGCAGCATTTACATACATTCAGTTATGAAGGACAGCAGTGAACCTTCGCGAAGGCATCGCTCCCACTTATAGCTACATATATGAACGCACCAATTTTGTCAGGTTTTCGGCATGAGAAAACGTCCCTCTTGGTCTGAAAAAACGTCATTTCCTACCCAAAAACGTCTTTTTTATGTTTGCACACAGAATTGTTCTTCTTAAACTCTTATTGTATACAAAGGTACATATGTACGAAGGGTATATTAAAATGTCATTTCGACAGAGCACATTTAAAATTCATTAGTGGTATTCACCAAAGTGAGCAAGTGGCCTGGCACTCTGGCAAAACAGCAGATGAGCTCAAGCAACGACTGTTGACAACAATTTGGTGAATACCACTATTGTAAACTGGTTTGAGATCGTTAATATAAAAATCATTTTATACATACACTTGTGATCAGCTGATTAAGTCATCAATATTTTGATCGATTTTGACTGTGTTTCCTTTGTTTATTATTTTTTTCATAAAAGCCTAGCTCATTATATAACTAACACAATATAAATCCACATTTCAACTTAGTGCAAAAATTATAAAAAATCTGCAAAGTTTCAACTAGGTTTTCAAGTTTTTGTTCAGATTTTGTAGAATTATTTGGTATGCAGTTTGATATCCCATTAAATTCCAGGGCAATAATGTGTAAGTTTTAAGTTGCTAAAGAATCGCGTTGATTTTTAATATTATTTTTTTCTTGTCGACATTTGGTTAGGTTGTCGAAAATGCTGAATTACGTTCAGCTCTTCCTCATTTGGCTTTTAATATGCAATTGCCAACATTGTAATAAGCAAAATAAATATGAAAAAGGCAAAATAAAATAACGAAATAGGCTGGAAAAGGCAAAATAAAATAGCGAAAAAGGCGGAAAAGGCACTAGGTATTGCAAAAAAGGCAAAAAAAGGCAAAACAAAATAGCGAAAAAACAGGAAAAGGCACTAGGTATTGCAAAAAAGCAAAATAAGGCACTAAGAAAAGACAGAAAATACGAAGAACAATCAAAAAATAAATTTATTTTAGAAATGTAGCACACTGTCCTTTAACCTAGGATTCTTCTTCTGAAGAATTGAAGAAGTATATTTTATACCCATAAATGTAAAATAAGTACCGCTCAACGACAACCATAAGGAAATTCACGTTTTTTATAAAATACGCGAAATTCAGTTACAGTTGTAAGTAGAAATTTTTATCGCATTTGGTAACTGGCACATTTGTTTAATACCTGTCATTTTATTCCTCAGAACCTACAAATAAATGTCTGAAAACCCCGAGCTTTAGGTCTGACCGCTCAAGAAATTATACCTTAAAAAAAATAGGTTTTGTGCGAGTTGCACTAGAAATTTCACGATTTTCTCGATTTTAGCAAGTAAACTGATGATTTAGACCGTTTCATTTGTTTTGAATAACTATTTATTGATATTTACACATATAAGTATTATTAACGAAGGTATACAAACCGCACTTGGCAGTGCAGCAGCTTTGTGGCGGCAACATTATGCCAGTACGCAAAATGTCCCCGTCTCAAAAGATTTCCCCATATATGTATCTCGGCAAGCTGTCTTAATTTCCAAATTTGCCCCTCGGCTTCGTTTGGCGCGTAATACTCGTCTTATGTATGTATATGACGTATGTACATACATACCTATTATATAAGTAGGAAAACAATATATGTATGTATTTTCTTCTTAAATTGCATGTAAACTTAATATGCATCCTATAAACTGATAAAACATACACGTAAGAAATTTGTAAACAACCACAAATGTGCTGCATAAGGTTTTATTTGCAAGCACATAAAAATGTACATATGAACATATATTATATACACACATAAGCCTGCATATTTCTAGTTAGAAATATTACTCACCCATCATTTTATTTCGTCCATCTTTTACTACATCCAACATTCACCACACATTAACAAAAATATCCAAATAGAGCCCAACACACCTGGCAAATTCATCGTTTGGTTCCGCAATGAAACCACACTGCTCGTGCTATGGCAGCCACCCTATCCTGCCGGAATTTATACCCATTACAAAGTCTCAATCGAACCGCCGGATGCACTGGAAAGTGTGCTGTACGTAGAGAAGGAAGGTGAACCGCCCGGACCCGCCCAGGCAGCCTTCAAAGGGCTCGTCCCAGGTCGTGCATATAACATATCTGTGCAAACAATGTCTGAAGATGAAATCTCCCCACCGACTACCGCACAATACCGCACTGTCCCACTGCGGCCGTTGAACGTGACTTTTGATAAGGATTATATTTCCTCGAATTCATTTCGAGTGTTATGGGAGGCGCCAAAAGGCATATCAGAGTTTGACAAGTACCAAGTCTCATTAGCCGCGTCGCGTAGACAATCGTTTGTATCACGGACCAATGATCCGGTAGCCTACTTCGATTTTCGTGATATCACCGAACCGGGTAAAACATTCAACGTGATTGTAAAAACTGTTTCGGGAAAGGTGACATCATGGCCTGCAGCGGGCGATGTTACGCTCCGTCCATTGCCAGTGCACAGTTTGCGCTCATTTAATGATGACAACACGAACACGATGCGGATCACATGGGAGCCGGATGCGGCGAGTACGCAGGATGAATACCGCATAGCGTAAGGAATTTTAACAAATACGAATTTATTGAATATTTATGTTTTATAAATCCATGCATTTTCCTTACAGCTACCACGAGCTTGAAACCTTCAACGGGGACACCAGCACTTTCACCACCGACCGAACAAGCGCAAATTTGGAGAGTCTCCTACCGGGACGCAACTACTCCCTCTCAGTTCAGGCAGTATCGAAAAAAATGGAATCAAATGAAACCACAATATTCGTTGTAACACGGCCATCTTCGCCCATCATTGAGGATCTCAAGAGCATACGCACTGGTCTAAATATAAGTTGGAAGAGTGATGTCAACTCCAAGCAAGAGAAATATGAAGTACTCTATTCGCGCAACGGCACCTCCGAAGTGCGAACTATAGACACAAAGGAATCGCGTCTGGTCATTGCGAACCTGTATGCTGGCGCTGGATATGAATTGAAAGTATTTGCCGTTAGTCATGGCTTAAGAAGTGAACCGCATGCTTATTTCCAAGCAGTATGTAAGTATCGATTTCATACCTTTAATTTAATATCTTAATATATTAACATTCTATATCTACATAGTTCCCAATCCTCCACGCAATATGTCCATCGAAACGGTGCGAAGCAATTCTGTGCTGGTGCATTGGGCACGACCAGAAAATAGTGACTTCACAGAGTATTCGATGCGTTATCGGACAGAGACCAAAGAGCAATGGATTAACCTGCCAAGTGTACGTTCTACAGAGGCAGATATTACCGATATGACCAAAGGAGAAAAGTACACCATACAAGTGAACACCGTGAGCTTTGGCGTGGAGAGTCCCAATCCACAAGAAGTGGTTTATACTGTTCCGCCTAATGAGGTATCAAATATTATACCTCTAGTAGACTCGCGCAATATTACTCTGGAATGGCCGAAGCCTGAAGGACGCGTTGAATCGTATATACTTAAGTGGTGGCCCACAGAAAGTCCTAGCAAAGGACAGTCCAAAACCGTTTCTGAGAATAAATCAGGTTAGTTGAGTATTTTTAGTATCCAGCGCAGGTCCTTTTTAACTTTAAAATCTTTTAATAGATGAGTCATCCACTGTCCGAGTCTTGATTGGGGACCTTATGCCTGGAGTGCAGTATAAGTTCGACATACAAACAATATCATACGGGATCTTCTCGCGCACCACACATCTTTCCACACGCACCATGCCGCTAATCCAATCCGAGGTGGTGGTTGTAAACGACAGACAAGAAGATGAACGCGACACCATTACTCTGTCATACACGCCAACACCGCAGTCATCTTCGAAATTCGATATCTACCGCTTTTCACTCGGCGATCCTGAGATAAAAGACAAGGAAAAGTTAGCCAACGACACGGACCGAAAAGTAACATTCACTGGGTTAATTCCCGGTCGTCTTTATAATATCACCGTCTGGACAGTAAGTGGCGGCGTGTCCAGCCTGCCAATCCAACGCCAGGATCGTCTCTTCCCAGAACCCATTACTCTGTTACATGCAACCAACATCACTGACACGGAAATCTCACTCAAATGGGATATTCCAAAGGGCGAATACAATGACTTTGATGTGCAATATTTAACCGCCGACAATATTCTCGCACAGAACATCACCACTCGAAACGAAATCACCATCAACGATCTGCGGCCGCACCGCAACTACACATTCACAGTAGTGGTCCGCTCAGGCACGGAGTCGTCGGTGTTACGCAGCAGTTCTCCACTCTCAGCAAGCTTCAGCACAAACGAAGCAGTTCCCGGGCGCGTCGAACGCTTCCATCCAATAGATGTGCAACCCAGTGAAATAGTTTTCGAGTGGCTGCTACCGTCGAGTGAAGCTAATGGGGTCATTCGTCAGTTTTCCATCACCTACATGAATGTAAACAATGTCACCGAAACGCGAACCCAACAATTCGAATCAACTGAGACGACAGGTGCTATACGAAATCTGAGGCCGGGTGAAACGTATGTTTTTAAAATACAAGCGAAAACATCTGTAGGCTATGGACCGGAACGTGAGTATAAGCAGACAATGCCAATATTGGCGCCACCACGTCCAGCCACACAGGTAGTACCCACCGAGGTGTATCGCAGCTCGAAAACGATACAAATACGTTTCCGAAAGAACTACTTCTCCGATCAGAATGGACCGGTAAGTTAAAAAAATGAAATATAAGCTATACCTGTGCACTGAATTAGTGAAAAAATTTCGAAATGGAGTTGTTTACAATATTAACAACAAAAACATTGTTTAATAAAATCAAAACAGGATTGAGTGCCTAAAATATGCTCTTATATTTATTTAAATATTACTTGAGCACTTCGTTCAACCTGGTTTGTTATAAGAATCGTTCAATCACTCACTCGCGTGGTTCGATATGGGCGGGAGATAACATCAGCAACTGGAACATTTCACGAGATATATTCTAGCATGGAAATTTGCCGTATCTCCTTTTTCCAAAATATCATTCACATTTATGTATGTACATAATTTCTCTGCAATAGTTCCAAATAAGTTTCTATATATGTATCTCACAATTCATGGCATCGGTGACCCGAACACTAGCCACTTACATCGTTTATTCTACATACATACATTCTTATGTCCATACGAGTGTAGGTATATGAATACACATTTTTCATTTAAGGTTCGCTGGTACACAATTATCGTCGCCGAGGATGACACCAAAAATGCTTCAGGACTGGAGATGCCCAGTTGGCATGACGTACAATCGTATAGTGTATGGCTGCCATATCAGGCAATCGATCCATATTACCCATTTGAAAATCGATCCGTGGAGGACTTTACTATTGGAACAGAAAATTGTGATAACCGGAAAATAGGCTACTGCAATGGACCGCTGAAATCTGGTACTACGTACAGGGTGAAAGTGAGAGCGTTCACAGCACCCGACAAATTTACGGACACTGCTTACAGCTTCCCAATTCAAACAGGTGAGTACATAGAAATTAAGGAAGAGCTTATGAAATTGTGCACTGAGGTTTGCTTACGAATTTCCTCTTTAATTTATACTATGTCTTACACATTCTACCTAAAGATTTATTAATCTCCCCTGGTGAGTATTCTATAGGTCAGGCGAAGCCGCACATAGCTTTAATGTTTATTATTTTTATTTACTATGCTCAAATTCCTACGTTTTCTTATGTACATACTAAGCACATATGTATTTCCTTCTTCACAGATCAAGACAACACTTCGCTGATCGTTGCCATCACCGTGCCACTTACCATCATATTTGTATTACTCATCACTCTTTTTGTATTCAAACGTCGCCGCAACAGTTGCCGCAAAGCCACTAAAGACTCTCGTGCCAACGACAACATGTCTCTGCCAGACAGCGTAATCGAACAAAATCGTCCAGTTTTGATAAAGAACTTCGCTGAACACTATCGGCTCATGTCAGCCGATTCCGATTTCCGCTTTAGTGAGGAATTCGAAGAATTAAAGCATATAGGACGCGATCAGCCATGCACATTCGCCGATCTGCCATGCAATCGTCCTAAAAACCGCTTTACCAACATTCTTCCCTATGATCACTCCCGGTTCAAGCTGCAACCTGTGGACGATGATGAGGGCTCCGATTATATCAATGCAAATTATGTGCCGGGTCATAACTCGCCACGTGAATTCATTGTCACACAAGGCCCACTGCATTCGACTCGCGACGACTTTTGGCGTATGTGTTGGGAGAGTAACTCGCGTGCCATTGTAATGTTGACTCGCTGCTTCGAGAAGGGACGCGAGAAGTGCGATCAGTATTGGCCAAATGACACGGTACCAGTCTTTTATGGGGACATCAAAGTGCAAATATTGAATGACAGTCACTACGCCGACTGGGTAATGACCGAGTTTATGCTGTGCAGGGTAAGTTTCTTAAATAATTACTAAATTCGTAGTTTTACAATAAAGTATGTTCTGAAATGTTACCCAACAGGGCAGTGAGCAGCGCATAATGCGTCACTTCCATTTTACCACTTGGCCTGACTTCGGTGTGCCAAATCCTCCACAAACTCTGGTTCGTTTCGTACGTGCCTTCCGGGATCGTATTGGCACCGATCAACGTCCTATAGTGGTGCACTGTAGTGCTGGTGTAGGTCGGTCCGGCACATTCATCACACTCGATCGCATTCTACAGCAGATAAAGACGTCCGATTTTGTCGATATTTTCGGTATAGTCTATGCCATGCGTAAAGGTACTACATTTTATAATTTTATTATCTTAATAAAATGAGAATATTTTTCTAATCAACTTTATTTCTAGAACGTGTTTGGATGGTGCAAACGGAACAGCAATATATATGCATCCATCAGTGTTTGTTGGCTGTGCTTGAGGGTAAGGAGAACATTGTTGGTCCTGCGCGGGAAATTCACGATAATGAGGGATACGAGGGTAAGTAATTTTTTCTTGGTTTTCTTATGCTTTCCGTAAGTTTAACTAACCAGTTTAAAATGTTAATAAGTTTTATTTTGCTTTTCTTTTGGTTTTGGTGTTATATTTGGTGGAACTAAAATGTAAAAGCGTTAAATCTAAGCGTAAATTAAATAAATGAAAGGGTTAGATATACATAACCCATAGCGCTAAATGCCACTGACGTGGACACCTAATTGCAGTTAGCCCTCTTTCGTTGAAGTGGTAAAAAAAACGTTGCCGTTTTTTGTAACTAGGATAAAAGGTAAGACTCTGTGCAGGCGTCAGTACAGTGTACGGTCCTTACCACTTTGTTGGTAGATCTACCACCTTTTTAGCTCCATTTTATTTTCTACAATTTTTACCAACAAAGTCAAAATACTTGCCAATATTTTCCGGAAAGAAAGCAAACAGATTTAAATGAATGCAGTGTAAAAATATTTTGTCATCGAGCACACCTACATATAATAAAAATAAAAAGTTAACTCTGACCATAACCAAATTAAAGTGAAATTGTGAGTGAGGCTGATAAATTAATGGTCTGCAAACTTCGAGCATTTCAAATCTAATTTTAATGAAACAATTTTGAAGTGGAGAGTAATTCGTGATCGAATCCAATTCGAATCGAAATTTCTTTTTGTATTACGGCATTCGGTAGCGAGTTTGCTTTTTCAATTTAAATTAAATTTGAGTGAAAACAGCTGTAATTTTATTTCGTTCGATGCGAAACGAATTTCATTCGATCACGGATTCCATGATTTGAGCCCAGTTTTGTGTATGTAATATACAATCAAAAAAATACAATCTTTCCCAAGGCGTATTCATATAAAATGATAGCAGTAATGACAGTAAGATTTATCACAAATACATCATTTTGAAATTAAGAACCACCGAGGCGAGAATACAGCTGCTCTGGAAACACCATCTTATATGAATTCGCCTTGATTTATCACATTTGAGTAAAAACAATTGGGTTGTTCACACTTGCCTGGTTATCTGGTTAAAAATTGTTATTCAGTAGTGTATGTTATTATTGTAAACTGAATAAAAAATATAACCACAAGGGTGAACACCCCATTTTTAATATTACTTTTGTTTTTTTTTTAATCTACCAACTTCTACCACTTTTGGTATGTAAAATCTACCACTAATTATTTTTTTGAAGTCCGTGCACTGCGTCAGTATGTGAAAAAGTGGGGAGACGCAATCATACTGTTGGAATTATTTTTAAACTTTTTCTTGGCTTCGAAGTTTCTTCTTAAAAGAGATCTGTGTACTTAACGAAAGCTACGTTGACGCGTAGTAGGAGTCAGGGTGAGGTGAAACGGAAAAAACTTTCTTCACAAATCTGTATAAAGGAGAGTTATAAGGTGATAAAAGTATTCTTATATGATAAGAGTGGCCGTCGGCGTCAATGGCTTTGTAGGCCTTTGACTTCTCAATTATGTACTGCTTGAGCTCATACCTGCTTAAAGCATAGCCGCACTAGGTTTAGCAGGTTGTGCAGCCTTCTTTTCACTGCACGTGTAACTTTAACCCGGGAGATTCAATGTAAATTTACAGTTAAAATTTCTAGCTCGACTTATCCTGACCGGATGACTATACACTGATATTCTAAGGTGGTGTCCCTGCGGTCATAAATCTTCGATGAGACAACACTGCACAGTGTGATGTAAGAAGAATGTAAGGCCTCCGTTGTTGTCTCGCTCATAATCTTTACGGCGCTTAGAGGACGTGAAGAGTGAATTAATCCCGTAGGTGGCGCAGGGGTCGAGTTATTTGAAAACCCTGTACTTTTGGTCTGATTTGGTTCATATTTGGAATGTATATTACTTACGGGTGACGCGGGGGTGTATATATGTATTTCAATACCTGCATATGTACATCTGCGTGGAAGATCGTAGTATCTCGGCAGCCAGTTCGAAAACGTCCTATCTCTGAAAACTTTTTAAGAATGCCTTACTTCAGAATTTGATTGTGCTGAGATAGGGCGTTTTTGAATTGGCAACTGAGTTAGGGCGTTCTTTAATCAAATTCTGAGATAACGTGTTTTTCAATCAAATTCTGAAATAGGGCGTTCTTCAAACAAATTCTGAATTAGGGCGTTCTCGAAAGGTTTTCTGGGATAGGGCGTTTTTGAACTGGCGGCCGCAGAGGTTGATCTTCCACTCCGGTATCGTTCATATTTAGAGCTATTTTACCTGCACAAAAAAGTAACTCCACAAAAAATTTAGCCGGTAGGCTACGCGTTCGTCAAAATATTTTGAAAAAAATCATCTGTTCCGATATAGTTTATATTTAGAATATAAGTAAATTACTTATATGAAACGAAATAACAAACAATATAGCCGTTGGGCAACGCAAATGTTCGAAATAATATAATTAGGGGATTCACAAGGCGTGTTAAGCGTAAGTCTTCAAATTTTTCTATGTAATAGACGATTTATGAGTTCCGCTGTAATTGATAACACCGTGAATCGATATACTCACGAAACTGTGTGCCAAATATAGTAAAACTGTGTTTTTAATTGTTCACTCAGACGTCGGGATTTTTTCAAAGGACTTTGAAATTTTAAAGATATGATTAATTCAGAAAATTATTTAAAAAAATGACAGAGAAAATTTTTTAGAATTTTAAACTAATAACGTTGTTACAAAGACGCATAGGTATTAAAAATGCGTTTTTAATAAATTTTATCTTTTCAAGTTAATAAAGTTACCAGGACGAAATTCGATGATGAGGTCGTGCGAAGATTAGTCCTCAAACAATAGTTAAAAAAAATATATTGCAATTTTTCAAGGATATGTAAGGACAAAATTTGTGAAGGACATTTTCGATACCCATATGCAGATTTTTTTCTTTTATATTAAATCTATACTTTTGCTAGGGTTACTAAAAGGTCAGTGAGCAACAGGTGAGTACGAATACCGCGGCCGGCCAAATTTTTTTTTAGCTTTTTCATTTATTACTCTTATTTTTTAATTTTATTATGGCTTTTTAAACTCTAAAAATTATATAAACTTGAAATATTTATATGAAACTAGATCACCCTCACCCGCTTCGCTGGTGTAGTTAATTTATTCACCGAAAAAGTAGAAGGTTATCAATTCGTGGGAATATATATTTTTTATGTATGCTACCGCATAACCTTGGACCACGTCGATCGATTTCGATAATTCTTTATCTATCGGAAAGGTGTTGCCTCAAGGGTGGTCCCATACTAGTTTGGCTTAGATCCGGTCATTTGACCATAAAGAAATTAACGGTACTATTAAATTTTAATATGATAATTTAAGTCAGTTTTGTTTTTAACCGACTTCCATAAAAGGAGGAGGTTATCAGTTCGTCGGAATATATATATATTTTTTATGTATGTTACCGCATAACTTTGGATCATTAAAAATTACATGCCAAAATAAAACTCAACATACTTAAACTAGACCAAAAACAAAAGATTTTAAATTTTTTTATACCACCTTCAAAATATTTTAAAACTAAAACCTTCTGATAAATTTTCTGACTTACATGCAGTGTAGAAATGACGCCCCTGCAAAACTATTTCGATTGATACCCACATTGTAATAATTGATTGAAATTAAATTAAAGTTAAATTCAAACCATTCAGAATTTAACTTTTTAAACAGTTGGCAACCTTTTTACACCTTTTTCGCCCGACGCTAATATTGTGATATATACTAATGTATTAAAATTACCTATTTATAACTTAAGTTGAATTTTAATTTTCAAAGATGTGGTTCCCTGTTATACATATGAAGCTTAGAAATAAAGCCTTTTCAAGACTTATGATTAATACCTATATTGCAATGACTTATTTAACTTGTAGGATAATTTTGTCTGAATTAAAACAGTTGGCAGCCCTCTTCAAATCCCCCAGAAAATTCTACATGTTTAGGCTGAACATTTCTAAACAATTTTACGTTTCACACTTTAACTTGATAATTAATTTAAATTCGAATTTTAAAACAGGTGGCAACACTATGCAAAATATTTTCCAACTGAAACCTTATTAACCCCATATTTTGATACATACCTACTACAATAATCCAGTTCCCTTAGTTCAAGTAGCATTTAATTTTTCAAACAGGTGGCAACCCTCCTAAATGTAGTTTATTATTGTAGTAATTCATTTACATTAATTGAATTTAGTTTTAAAACAGGAGGCAACCCTGGTAAAACACCAATAATATTTTAGATCAATTTTTCTCAATGACTATGGAATTAATTTCATATATCTCCATACAAAGTGTTATATGAAATACAGTATGAAATTCGGCTTGTATAGTAGGTGCCACGTCCCCTTTTCAATAGCTCCATATTTTCTTTATGACTATGCGATTAATTTTATATGTATATCACCACACCAAGTTCCAGTACTCTGCCAAGAACAATTCTAGAGATATGCAGTAAGAAAAATTCGACTTGTATGGGGGGTGCCACGCCCGTATAAAGTTGCAGTACTCTACCGTTAACACTTCCAGAGATACTTATTATGAAAAATTTCGTTTGTATGGGAGGTGCCACGCCCCCTTTTCAAATAGTCCGAATTTTTCTTCATGAGTATGCGATTTATTTCATATATCTTCATACCAAGTTCCAGAACTCTACCATGAACATTTCCAGAGATATCGAGTATGAAAAATTCGGTTTGTATGGGAGGTTCCACGCCCTTTTATATATCGAGATTTTTGTTAGCCGATAACTATCCTTAGAACGTCTGCAGTAGGTGTCCGAAATTTCAAAAAAATCGGTTCAGCCGTTCTCGAGCTTTGCGATATAAATAGATGGATAAGCAGGGTTTTTATGCGTAATTATATACATACATATGTATGTACATAAATATGCATATACAAATCGATGGTCCTCTGCTATAACGACACAGTTCAAAATTCAAAAAATAAAAAATAAACTGAGTGCGCGTAGTCCCTACGCGCGGAAGAAGTGAAACTTATAGAGGAAATGT